AAATATGCCCGGCCACGGCGTGGCCGCGCATATAAGAGCATTGGGCTAGTATTCCAAAGGTCGTAGGTTCGAATCCCGCCGTGGCCGGGCATATTTTTCAAGCCTGCCCGGTGTGGATATACACTCAGAGTATCATCACACAAACATCTTATTCACCTGAGTACATTACACCAACACAGCAGATTTCATAAATATTAGATTACACTGATATCGAAGGAACTAGACTCAGTTCCGAAATATCGCTTGCTCGAACCGTCCTGGCCGCGTGGCTCAGTTGGAAGAGCATTGGGCTAGTATTCCAAACGTCGTAGGTTCGAATCCCGCCGTGGCCGGGCATATTTTTCAAGCCTGCCTGGTGTGGATATACACTCAGAGTAACATCACACAAACATAATACCATTTAATGTGTCAATTATACGTCTTATAGTGCTAACCGTCTTATTATAAACTCGTAAAACAATGAAACGAGTAATGAATGTCAACTTTCAGAGTTTAACTTATAAACATTAGTATCAGGAGTGGCCGATCATCGCAAGTTTGCGTTATCGTGAGCATGAATTATGCTGCTGCAGAGCCAAAGAAGCCATTTTACGTGTTATTATCCTTAATATATGTCACGTGATCGTTGCCATGACAACGAAATGTAGCTTAACTTCAAGCCCCTGTCTTGACAAATGTTATAATACTTGAACGGTAACAATTGAAAGCTTGACTAATTTTTTACAAATTTTAATCTATTTTTCTTGAATTTACAATCTTGCACCCAGGCATTAATGTACCTGAGCGTCTGGCTGTTAGTCATTAGGAATAATTTCATCTGGGAGCGTTGGATTGGAGTTCGATGTTGACACATCTGTCTCAACAGGAGGAGCTGCTTGAATCTGAGTTCGATTTCGTCGTATATGACTTGCACCAGTCTTGATTATGTAAGACCTTGGGCAAGCAGAGCCAATCAATTTGCCAGGAATCCAAACTTTAGCTGAAGAGGTAGGCGATGGTTTGGCAAAGACCTTGGTTTCAGGTTGAAGGTGTGGAAGTGGTGGTCCTACCCGTTTATCATAAGCACGTTTCTGCTGCGACTTGCGCTCTGTGTGGTCCTTCACAACAATATCTTGTGGCGGTGTAGACGGCAGCAAAGTGGATGATGGTTGAGGGAGATTACTGCGGAGCACACGGCCGAAAAGGCGTTGGGCTGGAGAGAACGTGTGTCCGGCAGGGGCAGTGTTGCGGACAGACAGCAATGGCAGGTCGAAATCATCAGCAGTAAGCAGGATGTGTTTGGCAGATTTAACGGCTGCTTCAGCACAACCATTGGACTGGGACAAGTATGGGGAGGATGTGATATGATGAAATTGGAATTGTTTGCGAATGTCTTAAATAAATCAGAGGTAAATTGGGTCCCATTGTCAGTTATAAGAGTGTGTGGGACTCCGTAGCGACCAGAATGCTTCTTCGTGACTTGAATGACTGCTGAAGACTGAATTGTCGGAAGCCTATCGATTTCATAGAAGTCACTGTAGTGGTCCACTGTCACTAGATAAGCACGGTCATTTAGCTCAAACAAGTCCTGAGAGACCAGCTGCTAGGGTAGGGTGGGAACTGGATAAGGCTGGAGAGGTTCTCGAGGATGCTTTTGGGTATGTTGTGCACAGATGATGCAAGTTTTACACATGGTCGTGATTTGACTGGTGAGACCAGGCCAAAACACACAGCTGCGAGCATGACGTAAGGTGAAGTCAGGACCACGATGGGCTGCATGGAGCTTGTTCAGAATGGTTTTGCGCATGGAACAGGGAAGATGACCTTCTTTAATGCCATCATGTGACTTGATTTCATGGCGGACAGACCAGTATTGTTGTGCTGCAACAGGAACAGAAATTTTCTGCGCTGGCCAACCAGATTCAACAAGAGCTTGTACCTCGATCTGTTTTGGATCAGTGAGGGCTGCCGCTCTGATTTCTTGAAGAGCATCTTGAAAGCCGGAAAGTTCAGGATTGTCAGCCTCAAAATCTACCCGGTACACCATCTCATTATGGACTGGTTTGTGTGTGGTGGCAGGTAAAGGAGCGCGTGAAAGCGTGTCTGCAAGAAGCAGAGTGGAACCTTTGTGATACTCCACTTTGAATGTATAGCGCTGAAGAGTAACCATCATGCTTTGGAGGCGACGACGAGCTGAAGCTAGGGGACGGTTAAATATGGTCTCGAGTGGTTTGTGATCAGTGTCGACTGTCACATCAGACTTTACAAAAAGGAGCTGATCAAACTTGTGAAATACATGGACAATAGCCAGAGTTTCTTTCTCTATCTGGACATATCGCTGTTCAGTAGGTGTGAGTGAACTAGAGCTGTAAACAACAGGTTGCCACTGAGTATCACTGGAGCCCTCGGATTTGGTGTTAGGTTGAAGTAATGCGGCATCAAAACCACCGGAGCGTGTACATCAAAGTAGCGGAGGCACGGAGCTGTAGAGACTAGTTGTTTAGCCTTTCTAAATGCTTCAGAGTGTTGGTCTGCCCAGATAAATTCTTGTTTGATGTAAGTGAGGTCCCGGAGTGGACCGACTATCTCGCTGGGGTTGTGGCAAAACTTGGACAGGTAGGTGATGGTGCCCAAGAAACGGCGAGTTGCGCCTTGTCTTCAGGTTGGAGCATTTCGAAAACTGCTTTGGCAACCTCTGCACTGGGTTATAGACCATCAGGGGTAAGTATGTGGTCCATAAATGCTGCTGTGTGTGAATTAAACGTGATTTTATCTTGGTTGAGTGTTAGGTTGTGCCAGCTTTAACAATTTGTGTAGGCTTTGGTCATGATCACGAGTGGCCGCCTGCAGAGAATAACAACGACCCATCACAATGATGTCATCAGCAATGTTGATGATTCCATCTAGACGACAAAGAACATCATGGATGCGCCGCTGGAATTGCTCAGGTACGGAGCTGATGCCAAAGGGAAGGCGATTCCAACGGTAGCGTCCCCAAGGAGTTTGCATGGTAGTCAGCATTGAAGACTCTTTCGTTAGTTGGATGGTTTCAAAAGCATTCTTAATATCAAAAGTGGAGAACACCTTTGCCTGATGAAACCGGTGAATGTTCTCTTCAAGGGTGGGAATGGGGTACACAGGTCTGATTATTGCCTTGTTAACGGTTTGTGAGGGATCCAAACAAATGCGCACTTTCGCAGGTTTTGTAGCTGTTGCGGGACGCTCCCGCACCACCATATTGGAGATCCAGGGTGTAGGTTCATTCACTCGAACTAACTGCCCAGGTTGAATGAGTTTGTGGTGGGCAATTTGGCTGCAGAGAAGAGGTGTGGAGGGGTTTGAATAGGTTGACCGTCAGGATTAAGGTCCCCAGATCACCTAAACCCTCAAATAAATGTTCATCAGCATGCTTGATATGATCGAGTGTTAACTCACCAGGTGGAGCAACTGGCTCAGCATTACTTTCGAGTTGGTTAGCTGTGTCGACATCATAGTTGAGTATGCCCATGCGAGTGCTGTCAGCCAGGCCCAAGAGAGGAGTGTAGTAGTGCTTCGATCTGATAACATGTACAGCAATATCATAGCCTTTTCCCCGGCGAATGCAGTGAAGAGAAGCTTGGCCTTTGGTGGGAATAGTGGGAATATACAGTAGATGGAGCCATATGAACATTGTTCATTTTATCAATATCTGTGATGTGTATGGTGTTGCAGGAACAGCCAGAATCAACTTGAAATTTGACATATGTGGGTGGACAATGGTGTATTAGGTGGGCTGACATCAAGGTTTACAAGGATGCCTTTGGGTGTTGGCTGCACTTGGAAAACATCATGAGTAGTGACATGGGCAACTTGTGGGTCGGGGTGGGTATCAGGTTCTGAATTAGATACGTTTTTGCTGAATTTCCTTTGCACACATGCTGCCAGTGTCCTCGTTTTCCGCAACTATGACATGTATCTTTTTTGCAGGGCAGGCACTGCGGCTGGAGTGAGGTGATCGACCACACCATCGACAGATGGTAGAACCAGCAACTGAGCGATTGCCGGATTGACGAGAATTTTTTTGGTTTGGTGGAGGCAACTCTGTTGGCTGTTTCTTCCAACTGATGTTGGGAGATGGCAGATTCCATTTTTAGGCCATCCTCAAAATCTCAGGCCTTTGCTATGACTTGAGCAAAGGTCAACGGTATAAAATTTTCATGGGCAATAACATCACCACGAAAACGCTTGTACGTGTCATTCAGCCCGATTACAAAAATATCAAGTCGGTCATCCACAGCTGATGGGAAGTCACATTTCTGGTAGTTCAGTATAACTGTGGTGTGCCAGACTTGACAGACATGCCGGTTTCCTGTTTCAGAATGCGAAGGAAGTTGTATGTGCTTTGTATTATGGGCTTTCCCCAAAGATAATAGTTGGACAACTGTGTGAGCCATTTTACCTGGGTCGAGCTTGTCATCAGCTGCTATTTGGGCATCAATGGTTGTCGTCAGCACATCCTATTCTGCCTGAGGAAAGGCTCTCCTTAATGCAGCTAACGCTTTTGATCGTTTCGCTGCTATTCAGTAGTCATTACTGTCAATTTCCTTCGTGGCGTCTACATTGTCCCCCAATATAAAATAATCTCTGAAATTTGCTATGAAAAACGCGAATGCACGGCGACGATCCGATGCACTTGCATCAAACATAGGCATGTCGCTATCTTTGCTCATTTTTTTTGGACACTGTATCTAGGTATAATCTTATTTTTGTCTTGTACTGTAGTGTATATTTGTAAAACTAAAAAGTGATATCCTACAGGAGAAAAAATCGTTCAAAATCTGTAGTTGAGTCAAACCTGACTGATGAGCGAGAGGCGGTGTTCCTTTAACTGAATGTTGGAGTGGTTTTCGAGACTCTTGACACCATGTTAATAGCCAGAAAGATCAGAGTAATATCAGATCATCGAACGTTGTAATAATACAATAGAGAGTTTTAGCTTCACGTTTACGGCAAACGTCAAACCGCTAACGAAGTTTTTGATTTTACAAGTCTATTATAACAGCTTTTACATCAGTTTTGAAATATAAACAATTATTAAATTTGTGCTCTTTAGCAATGATTTAAAAGAGAGCAAATTAACCACTAGTCACGTATTAGCGAAAGCAGTAAATTATGATGTGGCGTTTGAAGTTTACGTTTGGCGTATAAATTTAATGGTTTAACGACTATACAAGCCCTCATAGCAGTTCAAACATGAAATTTATACGCCAAACGTAAACTTCAAACGCCAAATCTTAATTTACTGCTTTCGCGAATACGTGACTAGTGGTTAATTTGCTTTCTTTTAAATCATTGCTACAGAGCACAAGTTTAATAATTGTTTATATTTTAAAATTGGTGTAAAAGCTGTTATAATAGAGTTGTAAAATCAAAAACTTCGCTGGCGGTTTGACGTTTGCCGTAAACGTCAAGCTAAAACTCTCTAATAACAGAATAGCAACAACAACCCGAATACATTAATGCGCATGTCCTTCGTATGCCACAGCTAGCCTATTACAGCCCGCGTGCAGGGACAAAACTACGAGACTAATGAACGGTCCTTGGGCAAGCTGAGAGTGGAACATTTTAATAGCATATCATAGGCATAGTCATGTAATAAAATACTAGAAGTTACTAACGCAAGGAAAGTGCTGCCTCGCGGCTAAAACTTTGGGTTAGGTTGTTCAAAATCTGTTTATAATCCGTGGATAATTTAAAACATAACACTATCATAATTTTTAAAATTAAATAAAAATCGAATTTTATTGTAGCAATCGCGTACATATACGTTACAACAATATTCTAATTATCTAAAATTAAGAAAACAGTTTTCTGGGCACTCCAAACAATAGTAGCTAATGGAAATTAAGTAATTATGGGTCATTCCACGGCTTATTTCTCCGACAATACATGAATAATGTGACCCGCAGGGCTACCTCCACACATTTAGCTTTTATGCGATTGTTACTAAGGTTAATTCGCGGATTTTGCAATATTCTTCGACACAAATTCAAGTGTGGTCACTTCTACATGGTGTATCAAAAAAAAAGAGACCTTTAGAAATCAAGCATATTATTAAAATTTGAATGCCTTTTCAATTGCACAAATGCTAAACCGTAGTGCGTGAAATATTGATGGATTTCATATATTAGAAAAAGGAGACCTTTAGAAATTGAAATAACGTTTAAACAAAAGATTGTCTGCTCCTGGGAACAATCTGCTATGCATACTGTACGTAGATCGCATGTTACGCACTCGTGGGCTTAGCAAAGTGCTCCAGGATTCAAATTATAACAATGGTTGATTTCTAAAGGTCTCCTTTTTCTAATATATGCACCCCTTCAATATTTCACGCACCACGGTTCAGAATATGTGCAATTGAAAACGCATTCAAATTTTAACAATATGCTTGATTTCTAAAGGTCTCCTTTTTTTTGAAACACCTTTAGTAATCAAGCATTTTGTTAAAATTTGAATGCCTTTTCAATTGCACATATGCTGAACCGTGGTGCGTGCAATATTGATGCAGTGCATATATTAGAAAATTAAAAGAGACCTTTAGCAATCATCCATTGTTATAATTTGAATGCTGAAGCACTTTGCTAAGCCCACGAGTGCGTAACATGCGATCTACATGCAGGGTGTATAAAAAAAAACGCAACCTCGGAATTTCCTAAGAAATCACGGTGCAATTCTTAAGCATAAAATATTTTAGGCCGCTGGGAATTGAAATGGAATTGCTAATAGATCATATTACTGTTGTTGTGCATTAAATAAATGCATAAATTTTGCTTTATGCACTCGCGTGTGCAGTAATTTTGACAGTTGTGCTATTTTAAATTCCCAGG